TGAGAATTACAGAGGTAAACAGAGATAGGGAGATACTGGCACCAGTTGTATCCCTGATGACTATGGATGCCTGCAAGATGTACAAATGGATTTTTCCTTGTAAGGTACTTTTAGTGATATAAAATTAGTAGTCATCTACACAAATATACTGATTAATAGGAATTGAAATAACCTCGGTGAGAGAAAATAGATTGAGAGCAGAAACAATAACAAAAATGTGGGGAAGGGCAAAGAAACATGAGTAAAGAAAACCTAAAGGGAACAAAAGGGAAGTGTCAGGATCAATAAGTAGGAAGACATGCAGAAAAGTCAAACAGAGATAATTTTCAAAGTGGAGAGTCTAGAAATAATTTGTCAAATTCATAATTGAATATAACTTCTATAACTCATTATCTTTACACTATATTAAATACCTTAATTATTTGCCACAAAAATTATGACTTTTAAAGGTGGTGGAAGAAAATTTTACTTAAGCAGTGGTAGGGGCAGCTAAGGAGAGAATGAAGTTTCAAGTACAAGTCCCTTTATAACAGGTCAAGGCCAGGGTCCAAAAGAGGTCTTCTGTGCAGTCACTTAGCAATGATCCAACAAGACTGTGGGTGTGATTGAGGAAATTAAGGTCAGACAGGATGAAAGCATTGATTCTGGATTAGGGCAGATCTGGGCTTATCTATCCATCCATTCACCAAATATCAAGAGGACACCTACTATGTCCAAGTCACTGTTCTGGAATCTATAGAATGCAGAAATGAAGAGAATAAAAGCTCTGATCTCATAACCTCACATGCTAGTTGGATGCAGAGGACAAATGACACAAAAGTGAGGAAATAAAAATATGATGTCAAGAAGCGAATAAATGGTATAAAGAAAAGCATGTAGGATGTAAAAGGGACAGAGAATGATAAAAGATGTGGGGAAAATTTCTGGACCCCAATTTTCTCATCTATAAAATAACCTCAGAGGGTTTTGTGAGGGTTAAATGAGGTAATGCTTCTGAAGTGTTGTTGTACAGTGCTGGCACACAGAAAATACACATGCAGATCGACTCGGGCTTTTACAAAACTTGAAAAGAACTAAGAGGCAATGGTCTTCAGGGTAGACTGCAGAAGGTACTCTAGTTTAAGCAAAGGGATAAAAATGTTTCAATGAAACATTATAAGAAAAAAATTGCTTAGCTTTTTGAGTTCTTAATATACTCTAGAGATTAGTGCTCTATCTGATGTGAAGGGTAAAAATTTGCTCCCAAGATGTAGGCTCTCTATTCACCTCACAGATTATTTCTTTTGCTGAGAAGAAACTTTTTAGTTTGAATCCATCCCATTTATTGAGTCTTGGTTTTATTTATTGCACTATAAGAGTCTTATTAAGGAAGTTGGGGCCTAACCCCACATGATGAAGATTAGGGCCTACTTTTTCTTCTATTAGATGCAGGGTCTCTGGTTTAATTCCTAGGTCCTTGATCCACTTTGAGTTGAGTTTTGTGCATGGTGAGAGATAGGGGTTTAATTTCATTTTGTTGCATATGTATTATGAGATAATTGTAATTTGGGGGGTTAGTCTCTGTGTCCTCTATTCTATATCATTGGCCTACCAGTCTGTTTTGGTGCCGATACCATGCTGTTTTTGTTACTATTGCTCTGTAGTATAGTTTAAGGTCTGGTATAGTTATGCCACCTGCTTCGCTCTTCTTGCTAAGGATTGCTTTAGCTATTCTGGGTCTCTTATTTTTCCAGATGAATTTCATGATTGCTTTTTCTATTTCTATGAGAAATGCCATTGGGATTTTGATCAGAAATGCATCGAATCTTTATAGTGCCTTTGGGAATATAATCATTTTTATAATATTAATTCTGCCTATCCAAGAGCAAGATAGATCTTTCCATCTTCTAAGGTCTTCTTTGATTTCTTTCTTTAAAGTTCTGTAGTTTTCAATGTATAGATGGACTCTAGATAGGGCAGAGGTTGGGAGGGGGAGGGAGGGGGCAGGAGGTTGGCAAGGATGGTGAAATGTGATGGGTATCATTATCCAAAGTACATGTATGAAGACACGAATTGGCGTGAACATACTTTATATACAACCAGAGATATGAAAAATTGTGCTGTATATGTGTGGAATTGTAATGCATTCCATTGTCATTTATTTAAAAAAAATCAATTTAAAAAAGTGTACTATGAAAGGCCTTCAAATAATCATCCTGTTATTTTAAACTCTATTTAACTGTGTTTTGATCAAGTTATATCAATAAAATTCACCATCTTATTTAAAGGTGTTTGCTAGTGTCCATTTTGGGAAGACTTTCAAAAAATGCATTCATTTAAACAAACTAAAAATCACAGTTTCAGAACTTTCAAAGAAATTTTTTTTGACTAGGAACATAAAGAAAAGCATCACTTCAATTACTGTTAACAGGCAAAAAAAGTTAACATTCATATACAGTTATGGTCCACACAGAGTTTAAATTCCATTTTTTTAAAGAAAAGACATAATATCTTAATAAATCACAGGAAAGCAAATATAAATCTTCTACCTATATTAAATATAGTTTGACGCTTTTAAAGTTTGACTTTTAAAATTTCCACAGCCAAGTCATTACTCTATGATGTAATTATTTCAACAGCTGTTTTCAGGTCTAAAAAAAGATGATTCCTTGATTCCATGGGTTTGTAGAATGTCATTTAACCTGGCACACATTTAGGCTGGGAATGCCATAGAGTCAGACCATGTATTTGATGCTTCCTATGACATACTTTAATATACTTTTTAAACATTCTAAACACCAAGTTTTTGCTTTAAGAGTATTTCAAATTCAAAATAAATGTTTTTTTATGTTTTCTGTTCTTTGATACTGGATTTAGAAGACTAAAGAACAGAAAAATTAAAAATAATTTATTCTAACACAGTAGCAATATGGAATTTTTAATATCCATTGAAGATATTGCTTATGTATTTTACATAATTTAAAAAATACAATTACCATAGGCTTCTAAAAGCTTTTAGGTTTAAATAATCTATTTCATCAACAGGTTTCAGAATCTGACTCTAATCCTTAAACACAGTGATCCACTGTTATATCTCTTATTTGCAAACTGAGAAGAATCCAAACAAAGCATTGTCTCCTAAGACAATATGACATAAGCAGAGAAAGCAAGTTTTCTCAGTAGTTCCATGGAGGAGTACAGCACCTCAAATTCCCCATTTTGACTGATTACACATAACACAAGTTATATGTATGCATTTCTGGTGTTCTACAAGATGAATAGGTAAGGGTATGACTTTTAATTGCCAGGGTTTTGGGTTTTCCCACATTCAGATAAAGTTTCATTTCTTACATTAAAAAGGAAACAAAATGTAATAATCTTTAATCCAATTACAGAAAGAATCTTAACCCAGGGTCCATTGACAGGTGACTGGGGAATCTGTGAATACCCTGAAACTTCATGCAAATTATTTTCATATAGGTAGAATTTGGGAAAGAGATATGTGGTCATAACTTTCAGCATCTTAAATGGGTCTATGGGTCCCAAGTTTTTAAGAATTATGGACTTAAGAGATACCCCAGACCCAAGTACAAGTGAATCACATTCTTCTCTGAGTTGTTTTTCCAGCAGTAGTCATAAAATATTAGGAGTTCCTTTCTTGTTAATTGTGAACACCTTATTCTCCAAAGTCTCCTTGATTGCAGCACTTATTGAATTGCACTGTAATTGTTTTTTATGTGTCTGTCACTTCCTGTGGATAACATACTCCTTGAAAACACACACAAGGACTGACAGTTATTGTCTTCCCAGTGACTTGCACAGTAGGTACGCTAGCTTGAGAGTCTGCTATTCCCGTTAAATAGGTGCTCCACTAGGCCAGTGACTATCTTGTTTCTATTCAAAGTTGTTGCATGATGCTGGGCCCACACTGGACCTTGAAATGCTTGCTGAACCAGTCTTGTGGTTCCTTGCATCTGTATTTACAAGTAAGATCACATTTACCAGATCTTATCTTTAAAATGAGCTGAGTTCCAGCAATGTAGTTGCTTCCCAGCTGTCTGTGAGAATGTTACAGTTTTTCAGCTGGGGGTTCTTGAATCATTTTCCGTCTACCCTGAGCTCATTTACTCTTGCTTCAATTCCTGTGTACACTGTCCTGCTGTATTCCATTCTCCTCACCTACTTAACCCAGCCTTGCAGATTTTGCAACATCATAGCTTCAGTGCTTGAGAACTGAACAAATTCTACAATCCTTCCTGATAGAGAAGGTGCTTAGAAAGATGATGTTAAGTATAGTAGGTAATATTTTATTTGCCTCTGCTTTCCAGAATTAGTCACTACTAAACATTTCTCACTTTCACGTTTAAAAGAATGTTTTTAAAATGTTACAATATTCTTATCCCAAAATATGTCTTAGACATATAAATCCTATTACACTTTTTTGAGTTTACTATTGCTTCTGTTTTTCAAATGAGTTGACAAATGCTTATTTTAAATTTATAATTTCAGATAAAAATAAAGTAGTTCCTATAGGAAGAATAAATGTACCAGCACCTGTAAAAACAACTCTTAATTCTTTTTCCTCTAAAAAAGCAATAGTTAATCTGAAAGATTTGTTTCTTCTTATGCCAGGTTCCAGCTGCTTCACTTTGTTTAAAACTGACTTCAAAGTTTAAACACTATCCTGTCCCAACAAATAACCTTCCCCCAGATGGAATTATCCCGAATACTATCCTCAGTACTCTCAATACCACACCTGCAGCCTTTTAATTCAACATTTTATAAACTTTCCAAAAGGAAAAGATAGATTTGTTTTCTGTCCTCAAACTTTTGCCTTTTGGAGAATTTAGTACATGGAGAGAGTTCTATACCTTGGGTGAATTTATACACATTTTAGAAAAATTAAAAACTGATAGTACTATTTCTACTGTATTGATTATTATGTGAAAGAAATTCTAAGGAAATTAAAAAAAAAAACTAATCAGTTCCAAGTTCAAGAACTTTTAAAGTAAAGATCTTACTTGTAAATACAGATGCAAGGTACAGACTGGGCTCAATTTGTGTTCGATCCATATCACCTGGTGCAATTAAAAAAATTGGAAGAAATTTATTTAAGAATAGAAATAATCATGATTCATTCCTATTCAATAAAAAGAACACAAACCAAATGCACTTCTAGTTACTCTCATAAAACTAGATAAATAGAAGCCCGGCCTAGTGACTTTAATGTAAAGAAGGAAGTTAAACAACTAAATTTAATGACTGTCAATAGAAAAATACTTTACCACTACAAAAAGTAGTTGAGAATCTCCCTTCTCTCTAGACCAGCCTGGGGCATATTGTTCAACACAATCTACATAAAACAACCAATAAAGTTTTCAGGAGCAAAGAAGAGCAATATACTATTAAACCAACAAAATTTTAAAATAGGCTGGAGGAAAAAAGTCTTTTCATGGCCAGGGAATTAGGAAGCAGACAAAAGTTAAATAAATAAAAGAGAAAAATCTGTAGCACATATACAAACTGAGTATTCCTAATCCAAAAACCTGAAATGCTCCCAAATCTGAAACTTTTTGAATGCCAACATGAAACCACAGGTGAAAAATCCACACATGATCTCATGTGATGAGTCACAGTGAACACACAGGTACACAAAAAATATTGTATAAAGTTATCTTCAGGTTGTGTGCATAAGACATATATGAATCATAAATAAACTTTATGTTTAAAATTGAGTCCCATTCCCAAGATATCTCATTATATGTATGCAAATATGCCAAAATTCTAAAAAACCCTAAATCCAAAAAACTTCTGGTCCCAAGCATTTCAGATAAGGGTTACACAACTGTAGTTCTCAGGCCAACAAAATACCCTGGATACTAAGGCCCATGTTGATGGCATGATATTAACCTGTGTTCTGAAATACAGTCAATTAATAGCCATTGATAACTCTTTTCAAACAAATTCTTTGGGGCAGAATTATAAGGAAAAAATTATAATATGGAACAGCATTTATTTTCTCATTTTTTTCTAAGATAAAAAAATCACATCTTTTATTGAACAAAAATTTCAGGTGGCTTTTTCAAGAAGATAAGATTTAAGTGAACAAAATTATAAGCATAACATATTTAATTACACTGGGCAGTATATTCTCACTAACAACAAACCATGTCAAACTATTATAGTTATTGGAAAACTTACAAAAATTAAGAATGTTAAAATATGAAATATCCAACACAAATCAATGAAGAAAACACTGAAGCTGAAATAGAAGAGCTTTAAAAGAAAATCAGCAGCAAATACAAGATACTCGTATATTTGAAATCTACAGAGACCAAAATTAAACTCCAACTGTGATAATTTTAAAAAACCTTCAAATGTACTAGCTATGCTTATTGTGGTATAAAAATTAGATACTATCTTTATTCAACTCCCACTCTCACTGTTTCAAGAATTAGAGAGGAAGAGGAGATACTGCTTGGTCCCTGTGGCTCAATATTGCTGCCTTTCAGATTTTACAGAGCACATACAGTCATAGGATACAAACACAGAAACAACATGGCAGTGTCACAGTATCACAATCAGTATCACCCATGGAAGAACCATTTGTTATGTTATAGCTTGTGCAGAAGCTCTTCAAAAATTGTTATGTAAGAGGACAGGAATCTGGGATTTAAAATGGTTGTACTCATATTTTTAAATTTTTTTAATTTTTGACTTGAGAGCAATACTTAAATCTGTAACTCTTTATACTATTGTTTTTAACAAAGTATTTATAAATTATCCAAGAAAACTACATAGTAGTATATGGCTGTTAACAGCAAAACAAGGATGAAGCCCCTCAAAACCCACAAAATAAAATATGAAATTTTATTTTTATTTTTTGTTGCTGGAGATTGAAGTACCAAGGGGTACTTTACTATAGAGCTACATACATCCCCAGCCCTTTTTTATTTTATTTTTTTAAATTTTGAGACGGGGTCTTGCTAAGTTGCTAAGGCTGACCTCCAACTTGTGATCTATCTACCTCAATCCTGAGTTGCTGGAATCATAGGCGTGCACCACTGCGCCCAGTCAAAACATGAATTTTTAAATGGGTGTCCAAAATTTAAGGTAAAATCTAATAAGGAGGTATCTAAAATTAATAACACTCAGGTTACTTGCCTTTTTTATACCACTTTAAGTTCACTTAAATAAAAAGAATATTATTAGGGCATTTAAAACCATATTAAAAGAAGTTGACACTTTTTAAACAATATTCTGAATTAAGTTGCTTATTGGCTACAAAACTAGTATGTACATAAACTCTCTCAAATAACAGCATTTTCAGAAATAGGATCTTGGCAACATAAAAGCTTGTATCATCCAACTGCGAAGAAGTAAATTAATTCAGAAAATAGATGACCCACCTATCCAGAAATGTAGACCATGATTTATTTGAATAATGTACATTTAATTATTAAAACTCATTAAAAAGCATTTAAGTACTTGAATGTATTGCTGTTAAGTGTTATGACATGGAGTGCCTGCCTTTTAGGGGCAAGAATGTCGAGGGGGACATTCCAGCATTAAATCTGGTCGAGAACTGTGCGACTCTGTTTTAGTAGACAACTTTATCTACAATTCACTTCCTGTTGGTTCAACAGGCTGTGAAACACTGCTAAAACAAATTCTTTTCAGACAATTCTTTATAAAAGTATGCCATAATGGTTTAAAAACTAAAAGAATCTTAAAAATTACAATAGGTTTGCCTTGTGAAAGAAGCCATGGATTCTGATTTCATTTACCTAAGTTCAAAAATAACAAAACTAAACTTATGCTCTCAGAAGTAAGAATAATAGTTTCGTCCTTATGGGAGCAGGGCTGTGAATGACAGGGAACACTAGGGGATTAAGGAGTCACTGGCAATGTTGTTTCTTGAGTTGGGTACTGGTTGACAAATGTGCTCTGCTTGTTGACAGTTCTTTGATCTGTACACTTAGGCTTTGTATACTTTTCTTTATGTATATTATTTTTCCATAAAAAGTTAAAATTGTAAAAAAAAAAAACCCAAGTAATTAGTTTCAGCAATTAAAAGGTAGTATCTTTGTAATTTTTAATGGTTTTCTAATGATGAGTTAGGCAAAACACTAATCTTACCAGATATCCTTTAACATCAAGTGACTAGTTACTGCTAAGCCACTGTCCATATTGCTGACTATAAGGAAATAAATCTGGAAACACAATAAGCTGAACCTTGTCAGAAGCAAGTGAGCTTTTGTGGAGGTTGCTCTGCTCTCCAACAGCTTACTATCAAAATATCCAATGTTCTATGATTATTGGCTCCTTTCTTTAACGGAAACACAAATTGGAATCTAATTTCAACCAATCTTGAAAGTGTTTCTGAAATCTTAACATGTCCTATAAATGCACAGTAATTCCCTCTTTTTCTGGGTGCCAATAAAGTTTATAAAGCAATGACACTGTAACTACACTTAAACATAACTGTAATTCTTATTCAACAATAACTCCTATAATTCTAATTTGGCCATATTATACAGGCTACAATGTGCAGAGAAGGATACTATTATAACATTCTTATAAATGACATCTGATAGCTACCAAGGGCTGAAGGCAAAGTAACTTCCTAATATTTACTAAACACTTTGAAGCTAAGGACCCCTATTAACCTATCCACAGAAAAATCCATTTTCTGTGATAGAGATCCTTCCTAAATATGGAAACTTCTCTCAAATTATGGCTTGTGATTATCACTAAAAATACACTACCTTATCTGTGCAGTCTTTACAATAGGCTTTGCTATATCTAGCCATTTCTAACTACATTTGGAAAGAAAAATTAAATCTGACAGAGGGACTAGTTCACTTCCCCAAGGCCAGACCTGGTAACTTTTAAAAGAGTGAAAGAATGAAAAATGAGCTTTCAAATACAGGAAGCCACTAGAAAATAAGAACACCACCACTTCATATCCTAGAATAAGAGCTTTAAAGATTTTCTGTTGAATAGTAAGTTTCAGGTGGGGGAGGAGGGTCGGGCGGGTAGGTTTCTGCTCACTGTACACACGACACCAATGGGAATAAGGGCCAGTCCAAGTTCTACGTTACCATTACTCTGGGTAATAGTTCCAAGCTGTGAGGCACAGCTGTATAGCCCTGCCAGCAAGGCCATCACAGCAGTGCTTTGATAGCATGGGGCCCCAAAGTGTCAGGATATAGAGAAGGCAGCAGTTGTTGGCTGTGAAAATAGTCTGATACAAACCAGATGGGAACTTACTAGATGGGCAACACAAAGGAAAACAATTGGCTCATTCAACAAAGTCAGGGCCCTGCCCAAGAATTCACAGAAGACAGTAACAGTCACCCAGAGTTGATGCAAACAAGAAACAGCCATGTGGTTATAGTTTAAAGAATTGTTTTTCCTCAGACTAAACAAAGTTTTGATTTCTAATTCTTGTATTCATTAATTGTAGTTTGGTGTACAGGCCTTTTTGTCAAAGACAAATATTTCATTTGTACAATATATACTTTTATGACACCAAGAGAAATATATGGGGACACAGAAAATAATTTTGTGCTACTTCCTGTAAAGTGTTATGAACATTGGCTAAACCATTTCAGGAAACTGGTAAATTTAGAAAATGATTGATCATGCTGACACAATAATTAGAAAATATCTAACATAATATTTCCAGGACTTCCTAAGTCCTGATTTAAAAAAAAAATGTAGTCAGAATGACTCTAAAGGCAATAATCACAGGGCTTTCAGCAGAACTACTTTTCTACCTAAATAATTTTTTTCTGACTTCATTAGGTGATATAGTATTACTGTACTTATATTCACAGGAAAAAAGTACCCAAGTTCTGTACCTGTATATTCTGAGCTGATAAGTATAAACAAACACTAACAATTAGATTTTAAAATACTTTCAGCAATAATATTTCACTTACAGTCTTTTACAGATACGTATTCCACATACCATATATTCATGTATACTTATGTTTTAGTATTAAACAGAGGAATTAGCATTCTAGCTTAAAATAATTCACAAGTAATTGTATTTTCCACTAGAAATCCCAGC